TTTTGATCACAAGGTTCACTACAACAATGGCAGTGCATAATATAGCCACTTTGTGACTCCTTCGTACTGTAAACTGCTATAAAGCTGCAATGGAGCTGTCCTCTACCAACCAGGTTATGTCTTTAATAATACACTTTTCATAAAGTTAGCAAGCTGCTATCCACAGGGATCAGACCAAATACTAGAATTAAACCACAATAATGCAAATGTTAAAATCTACTTTAGCAGCAACAAACTAATGCAGAAAGTGTGTCATTATGATATTTTCACTAAAGATAATGTGTATTTTAAGTTTTAAGAACTACTGTGGTGGTGGTTTGGGGTAATATAAGAGGATTCTTGAGTAGCGTTGGATATTGTTGGGAATCACAATTCTACATTGTAAACCAAACTGCACAAAAGTACTATCCATAACATAATAACACAGATTACTTTTACTTTGAATCATTTCAGTGCTTCTACTTTAACTGAAGTAACATTGTGAACTCAGGACTTTGAGTATCTGTGACACTTGAGTAAATGATATGAATACTTCCTCCACTATTCATTTCTCAGACGAAGCTCCACATTAAACTAACTAAGTTGGTTTTTGGATAAAAACGTATTTGTGTCATTAGCTTTAGGTAAAGTAAGGTGTTAAGCTAGCTATGGCCGAGTGAAAAACAAGACTACAGTAAGCTTGTTGGAAACCTCATATATGGCCGGACCCTGTATGGGATGGACAAACATCTTAGATATTATCAGGAAATTATTCATAAACAAAACAAAGCCACTTTTCTAGTTCTTGGGAATTTCAGTTTCCCAGATATTAAGACTTAATTACACACAGTGAACGTATGACAGCTGATACTGCTTCCATTGTGTGTCAAATCACTTTTATTATAAAACTTAAACATACAGTGTCATAAAATTATTAGTTATCGCAGTTCTAAATTCATGAATCTTCTCCTTGTATGTAAACATGCACTGTAATCTACATTTGATATCCTGCAGACGTTAATTATGATACAAACGGAAATTAACATAAAGTAAAAACATGAAACCAAACAATGTATTAAAGCTCCATGTAACCCACATTAAAGGACCAGTGTGTACAATTTAGAGGCATCTAGTGGTGAAGTTCTAGATTATCCAGACACAAAGAATCAATATTGTCATCCCCAAAAGTTAACTGATTAAACATGGTGAATATAAAAGAGCACATTCAGTTAATTTAGTTTAAACATCATTTAAGTACCAACCTTTTGACCAAATCTCATTTTAATTCAATCTGTTCAATTAAAGAGACATACACACACACACACACACACACACACACACACACACACAGACACAAACAGGATTTCCTGTAGATACAGAAGGGAGGATGGGAAGGAACCTTAAAGTGAAAGTGTTCAGTTGGATCAGACTCCATTTTGAGTGGACAGAGCAGGAGGAGGAGAACTGAAGGCTGAGGCAGGGTGAGTGTTTTTATTTTACTGTACGCTGTTTGTGTGTGTGTGTGTGTGTGTGTGTGTGTGTGTGTGTGTGTGTGTGTGTGTGTGTGTGTGTTACTTCCTGTTCTCAGTCTTTAAGTGAAACATGAACAGACTTGTTGTTTCCTGATTCTGTGCTCTGAGCTCACAGTCAGTGTTAATGTTTGACTCTCAGACTGACTTCAGATCAGAAGATGAGTGACTGTGTGGAGGAAGAGGAGGACAGAGCAGAGTCTCCAATGTCCAGCTGTCTGTCTATGAAGAGAGACCAGTCAGAAGATCTTCCTCTAACATTCAGTAATGAACCTGGACCCTCAGACACACAGTAAGAGAACTGCTACTGACTTGTTTATATGACTTATTCTCAGTTACATGTGCCAGTTTTCTGTTTTCTGTTTGTGTTTATATATTAAAACTTCTACCAAAGTTTATGACACAAAGATAAATCATTCGAGCCATCTTCCTCTCAGTATCTCTGTCTGTCAACTAGAAACACTGTAATCTAATCTCAAAGCACTTAAACAAACTTTTAAACCTCCTAATTATCCACAGAAGCAGCACTTTGTGTATTTGAAGCTCATTCATTCAGCAGAGAATTTATTGAAGGATTCAAGTGATATGAATAAAAACATGTTGGTGTTTGCAGAGTTTGTACAGATACAGTTTCAAACTCAGATGGATCTGATTGCATTTCTTAACCAAAACACCTGAGAACCTCCATCCCAGAACTTCAAGAAAATATTCAGATGTTTTTTACTTTTCCGTTGAAGTCGCTGTAAAGATTGAGTCTGAAAGAATGTGCTTTTAGTGTGTAATTTATTCCTCAGATCAGCTGTTATGATCCACCAGATGCATCTTAAGTCAGTTCATATCATAATTGTTCAACGTGTGGTGAAAAAGCATTTATAGAAAAGCTTTGCTCGCCTTCATTCTGTCTGTTCGGGGGTTGAGTTTGCTCTTTAATAATGTTTGTAAAATATGGGGGAAAATTACAGGTCACTTATGTTCAGACCTTGCAGTTGAAAGTGTTGGATCATTACTAACTCAAGCTGAGCTCTCCAAAGTGACTGAAACAGTGAAGGACATAATCATCTGTCTTTAATGGAAGGCTTTTATTGTGAAGATCAATCAATAAATGTTTATTGAGACAGACAGAAAGGAAAAACTGTTAATTAGTGTAGAGTTGAAATAAAAACAATTATTTTTATTTCACACTGAATGCTGAAAACAGAAAAGCAACGACACTTTTACTGTTCTCTGTGACAATCTGAGCTTTCAGACAGAGTCAGTGGCCAACTCTGGATATTTCTCAAATCATTTTAGTTATAAAGAAATGTCTCCACAGAGAGAGGAAGAGGAGTTATGTTCCTGTGGAGGAGCAGCCGTCCTTCTGTTCTTTGTGTCAGGACGTCCTGAAGGATCCAGTCTCTACCAGCTGTAGACACTGGTTCTGCAGACAGTGCATCACCTCATACTGGGACCAGTCTGGTTCATCAGGAGACTCCTCCTGTCCCCAGTGTGGAGGAAGTTTCAGAACAAAGCACAAAGTACAAGGTAGGACTGTACATCTGTCTGCTGATGTTATAATTACTGGAAAAAAGATTTTCTGTTTAATTACACCAAAAATATTATTATGAATATTGATTCTGAACATTTTTATTCCTCTAGAATCTAATTTTATGTTCAGTGTCACATGTTTTCTTATCTTTTAGCAGATAGTGGTCTGAAGGAGGTTTTAGATGAACATAAGATCAGTCTGAAGACGAGATGTAAACATGTGACTGAAGGACCTGATGAAACAGGAAGTGGAACCCTCCTCAACAGGATCTACACTGAGCTCTACATCACAGAGGGACAGAGTGAAGAGGTTAATACCCAACATGAGGTGAGGCAGCTTGAGACAGCTTCCAAGAAGGAGACCCTCCATGACACTCTAATCAAGTGCCACGAGATCTTTAAAGCCTTACCTGACCAACAGAGACACATCAGAGTGGTTCTGACGAACGGTGTCGCTGGTGTTGGAAAAACCTTCTCAGTGCAGAAGTTCACTCTGGACTGGGCAGAGGGCTTGGAAAACCAAGATGTCAGTCTGGTGGTTCTGCTTTCATTCAGGGAGCTGAACCTGATCAAAGATGAGCAGTACAGTATTCTCAGGCTGCTCCATGTTTTCCATCCAACATTACAGAAGGTCACAGCAGAGCAGCTCGCTGTCTGTAAACTTTTGTTCATCTTTGACGGCCTGGATGAAAGCAGATTTTCACTGGATTTCCACAACAATGAGGTTGTGTCTGACGTCACACAGAAGTCTTCAGTCAACGTGCTGTTGACAAACCTCATCAAGGGGAATCTGCTTCCCTCGGCTCTCGTCTGGATAACTTCCAGACCTGCAGCAGCCAATCAGATCCCTCATGAATGTGTTGACAGGGTAACAGAAGTACGAGGCTTCACTGACACCCAGAAGGAGGAGTACTTCAGGAGGAGAGTCAGTGATGAAGATCTGTCCAACAGGATCATCTCACACATCAAGACCTCCAGGAGCCTCCACATCATGTGTCTAATCCCAGTCTTCTGCTGGATCACTGCTACAGTTCTGGACCACATATTGACTACAGACCAGAGAGGAGAGCTGCCCAAGACCCTGACTGACCTGTACTCACACTTCCTGCTGGTTCAGACAAAGAGGAAGAAGCAGAAGCATGAAGAGGGACATGGGAATAGTCCACAGGAGCTGATGGAGGCTGACAGGGAAGTTCTTCTGAAGCTGGGGAGGCTGGCATTTGAACAGCTGCAGAAAGGAAACATCATGTTCTACCAAGAAGACCTGGAGCAGTGTGGTCTTGATGTCACAGAGGCCTTGGTGTACTCAGGAGTTTGTACAGAGATCTTCAAAAGAGAGAGTGTGATCTTCCAGAAAACAGTCTACTGCTTTGTTCATCTGAGCATTCAGGAGTTTCTGGCTGCAGTCTACATGTTCCACTGTTACACCAACAGGAACACAAAGGTACTGGAGGACTTCCTAAAAGGTTGGGATAATGATGATGATGATGAGGATGATGATAATTATTATTACTATTATGATGTTGATGATGACAGAGACAATGACCCATCCCTAGATTACTTCCTGTATAAAGCCATGATGAAATCCCTTAAAAGTAAAAATGGCCACCTGGACCTGTTTGTTCGCTTCCTTCATGGCCTCTCTCTGGAGTCCAACCAGAGACTCTTAGGAGGCCTGCTGGGTCAGACAGACAACAGTCCAGAAATCAAACAGAGAGTCATCAACAACCTGAAGGAGATGAACAGAGATGATATCTCTCCTGACAGAAGCATCAACATCTTCCACTGTCTGATGGAGATGAACGACCACTCAGTCCATCAGGAGATTCAAGAGTTCCTGAAGTCAGAGAACAGATCAGAGAAGAAACTCTCTGAGATCCACTGCTCAGCTCTGGCCTACATGCTGCAGATGTCAGAGGAGGTTCTGGATGAGTTGGACCTGAAGAAGTACAACACATCATGGGAGGGACGACTGAGACTGATTCCAGCTGTGAGGAACTGCAGAAAGGCTGTGTAAGTAACAACATCATAAAGCAATATGAAGCTGAAGCCTTTTACATTACTTTTTTTTTACATTATAACAGTTTAAATGAACTAGTAATAAACCTGCTTATTTACATAATTCTACATGTGTTAAACTACAAACATCATTTCAGTTATTAAGTTATTGAACACAAGAATCTTCTATCATCTTCTAACTATCTTTCTTTGGGTGATGGAGGTTTGATACAAATCCAGAAGAACTTGATGTTGTGTCTGGTCAAGTTTGTTAAGTTTAGTCATGTTAAGTGTTTCATGTTTAGTCCTTCCTGTTTTATTTTGTACTCACCTTTCCCTCACTATTCAAATCCTGACTTCCTTCCTTTGTGTGATTTTCCCACCTTTGTAATTGTCTGCCCCGCCCCTGATTGCATTCACCCGTTCTCACTTACACATGGTACACAGTTTAGCTTTCATGCAATTATTCCTGTTATATTTTTACTCTACTGTTCTGTCTATTTTTATAATTTATACAATATCTATAATTGTTGATTGATTTGAGGGGAGGCCATCCTCCCTCTTGAAGAGCAAACAGAACATCTCCCTCTCCAAACTTTACATTGAGTTCATAACAATAAATGTCTTTTCATAAGTCTTCCTACATTAGAAATTATTTTAATTCGTAAACAGTCAGGAAGCTCTCTCTCTCTTTTATTGATATATTTCAGATCTACTTTTTTGATGGTCACTGTTGAGAGTGAAATCAGTTTACAGACACAAACTGTCAGACACTGTGTTTCATTACACTCACTACAATAACACTAAAGACAAGATATGCAGAGAAAATAGCAGCGCACACTTCCACTGTGGTTTTCATTTAATCTGCAGCCACAGTCTTTGTGTTTTTAGCAGCTGATTTACAGCAGCTCATTACACAGTCAGCTCCTGGGACGGCCTCCAGCTTCATTCTGCCAGTGAAGGAGAGCTCAGTAGGTTCAGTTCAGTGGAGAGATTTTATCATCACCAAGCTCAGAGAAGAAATTATATTGTTCAACAGTTGAACTCCACTGTAGAAAAACCGTTACCCATAAACTATAATGATATAATGTTTAGTACTAATTATACTATAAATACAATAGTAGTCATTAAGTTAATTTAATGGTAGATGCAGATGGAGTCACATAATAAGATCCATCAAAGATGCACAAAATCCACACAATCACATGACTGAGGTAAAAACACAACCGAGTGCAGTTTGAACCTACAGTGATTTTACAGTTCAGTGAACATCATGTTCAAATAAAGTTTAACAAACACAAATCACAATCAGAATATAACATGTTTACATTTAAGTGGGCAGAGACTTTTGTCTAAAGTCACAGTCTGTGGTTCATTATGTTGTTCAGGGACACGTTGACATGTGGACTGGAGGAGCTCCAGTTTCAAACCTCAAACCTTGTAATCAATGACTGACCGACCAGCTGAGCTACAGCCGCTCATGTTAATGTACTTTGTGATGAAAAATGTTTTATATTCTCTGTCATCACAGACTTTCTGGCTGTCGACTCTCAGACACTCACTATGAAGTTGTGGCCTCAGCACTGAAGTCCAACCCCTCCCATCTGAGAGAGCTGGACCTGAGTAAGAACAAGCTGCAGGATTCAGGTGTGAAGCTGTTGTGTGCTGGACTGGAGAGTCCAAACTGTAGACTGGAGACTCTGAGGTCAGTTCATGTATTTGGCTCTTACACAGTGTATATCCACCAAATGTAGTGTTTTCTGGGTTTGTCTGAGCACAAACTCTTCTTTAAAGTTTGTCTGTGTGAACAGTTTGGTTCTGAATTCAGTCTGTACTAAATATATAAAATAGAATAGTATAAACTTTACTTTTCATTTTGTGCCGGAGGGAAAATTTGTCTTGGGCACACTGCTACAATTTGTTGCTTCACAGAAACAAACATACCTCAACAACAGACACATAAAAAAAACATTACAAAATCAACATTAAACATCTTAAAACATGAAAGACACTATACATTTTACCACTGACAATGTGGCAGCTTAAACAGAGACTATAAGAAAGTATAAGAATTAAAGTGCTACAGTGCTGGTTTATATTCATGCTATTGAAGAAACTGTAGGATTTATCCTTCAGTTTGTCTGTGACATTAAATCGAGCGCCTCTTTCTCTCTCACACACACACACACACACACACACACACACAGTCTAAAACTGACATACAGGAGCACAGAGTGAGAAACATATTTCCAAATGCAGCTGTTTGAAGTATCACGTCTGACCTGTGACCAACGACACGTGACACTTCAACCTGAAACACGCTTCATTCAGAAAATGATGTGTCTTTGTGTTCTGACTCAACCAGTAAACAGGAACATAAATAATACACTCCATCTGTACAGGAAGGTACTAGGTTACATTTAAGATGAAGAGATCATGCAGCTCTCTTTGCTCAGTGCACATTTGATCCAGTTATAAAGATGATTGAGAATGATGATGGGGTCAGACACCATTTTATTCTTCTGTGCTGAGATGAATCTGATGTGGAAGTTGTGCTGACAGTAAAGTGCAGACATAAGGCTGATTTTATACTGATCCACACTGAGTATCTTAATGCTAAAGTCTGTTTTCTTCTTCAGTGGTTTAGTCCATTGACTGTGGCAGAGCAATGTTGAGCTCCACATTTAAAACCTTCATATAACAAGAAGAATCTACACTGAATAATTCACTCTTTATTTCCATCTTATATTACCCATCATGTGTTTTAAAAGAAATGATGACAATAAATACAATGAATAAATCAATAATCTCTATTTCAACTATCAGACAATAAATAGATTCACTTTTTGATTTTTCCAACATTGTTATGAAGCTATATGATGTTTATACTGACTGAATAGTTTAAACTGAAGCTGATTTGATTTTATGACTCCACTATTCCTAAAATAAATATTGTAGATGTCTTTTGTTCACATTTCCCCAAAATCCATCCTGACATATTTGGTATCTTTGTAAACTTTAGGATCTTGAGTGGAACCTTCAATCAGTTTCTGTGGGTTTTTCTTTGTGTTTGGCTGCACAACATGAGTTTGTATAGATGGAGCCACTGGTGGAGCTGGCAGAGGTTAAGAGTTGAAGTCACTACGTCTTTATTGAAGCAGCAGCACGTTGTCATTAATATTAATGAGAGCTCTTTTTCACTCTTTGTATTTTACAGTTTGCAACCTGCATCCTGTTGGGTTCAGGTGTTTGGAGTTTCCATTTTCTAAACTTGTACATTCTAAACCTTCTTCAGCTCTGAACAGATTATTAAACACTGAATGATTTCAAGCAGGAACATTGTCTTTTAAACTTAGATCTTTTATTCTTTATTCAGTTTGTGGGACTGCAGGTTGTCAGAGATCAGCTGTGATTATCTGGTCTCAGCTCTGAAGTCCAACCCCTCCCATCTGAGATATCTATGGCTGAGTATCAACATCCTGCAGGATTCAGGAGTGAAGCTGCTGTGTGGTTTTCTGGAGAGTCCACACTGTAGACTGGAGACTCTGAGGTCAGACACCATTTTATTCTTCTGTGCTGAGATGAATCGGATGTGAAAGTTGTGCTGACAGTAAAGTGCAGACATAAGGCTGATATTATACTGATCCACACTGAGTATCTTAATGCTAAAGTCTGTTTTCTTCTTCAGTGGTTTAGTCCATTGACTGTGGCAGAGCAATGTTGAGCTCCACATTTAAAACCTTCATATAACAAGAAGAATCTACACTGAATAATTCACTCTTTATTTCCATCTTATATTCCCCATCATGTGTTTTAAAAGAAATGATGACAATAAATACAATGAATAAATCAATAATCTCTATTTCAACTATCAGACAATAAGTAATAGATTCACTTTTTACTTTTTCCAACATTTGTTTGTTCACATTTCCCCAAAATTCATCCTTTTTTAAATAATCTTACGGCTGGAATTATTATTATTATTATTATTATTATTATTATTATTGTTATTTGTTATTTTTACTACTTTTATTATTTATATTTATAATTATTAACAATAGTAGTAGTATTATTATTATTTATTATCATTATTATTATTATTATTGTTATTTGTTATTATTATTATCATTATTATCATCATTATAATTATTATTATTTATTAATATCATTATTATTCATATTTAGTATTATTAATAATTATAATAATATTTATTATTATTGTATCATTATTATTATTATTAGAATTAGAATATACTTTATTGTCCCCTAGGGGAAATTTGTCATGGACTCAAGGTGCGTAATGCATAGTAGCTGCCCTTACAGACAATACATTTATACAATAGTATCATCATTCATTTTTATCATTATTATTATTTATTATCATTATTTTTCATGTTTATTATTATTATTGTTATTATTAATAATAATAATATTTATTATTATAATAATAATTATTATTATTAGCTGGTGCTGATGTCATTGGTTACCATGTTGGTTTCAGTGACATGCGGCCAGGAGAGACAGGGGAAAATATATAATAAAGAAATAAATTAAATGGTTATATTTATCAAATAGTTTGAACTATAAACAAATTTTCCATTTAACTTGAACAATTTTGATTGTTTATTATTAAAAATCGCTGAATTTTCGTATTTCCGGTTCAAATATGGAGAAGACGCATAATCCCTCACAAACTGCTCTGCCGTGCAATGAGAGCATGTTACTGTCTCTCTGTATGTCGTCAATCAAATGTTTCAAACACTGTTAAAATTTGCCCCCCTGACTCTCCATACTTTAGCTGATGTATATTATATATGTGTGTGTAACCTGCTTGGTGTGCTCAGCGATCTTACAACGGCAGTGAAGGCACTAGGTGAGGTAAGCAGTTCTCTTGCCTCATGGTAGGGGGCACTTGTGAGCCCAGAGATTCTTAAGATACTGCGCAGCTGCAGAGTAAGTGACAGTGAGACTTTTAAAACTGAAAGAAGACAAGGAAGACTTCTACAAAAAAGTAAGACATTTTTGTCCAGAAGGATCGGTGCATGGACTTCATTTATAAGTAAGGGTAAAACCATAATAACGCTTTTTTAAATGAAATGTGCGTCACGTGGGCTTCAGTTTGTATGTGTAAAGAATTCTGATATGTGATATGAAACATAACCGTTAACTGCTGCTGATCAAATGGTGAATAATCTACTCTGTTGGGTTCATATATTTGTAAATCTGATTCTGATGAAGTCAGTGCCTCACCAGCCATGAACCTCACCGCACATCACTGGTTGGTTTCCATCATTTTGATTGGCTACGTCATTAACAACGAGCCTCCTCCACACGTGGCTCACCTGCTGATGTAAAAACAGAATCGCAGGTTAAAAAATGTGACAAAATCAAAACTCCTGAACACATCTAACTGGATTAGAAATTATTTTATCTTCATCTTTTATTCTTTATTCAGATTTAGTTGCTGCGGTTTGTCAGAGATCAGCTGTGATTATCTGGTCTCAGCTCTGAAGTCCAACCCCTCCCATCTGAGAGAGCTGAACCTGAGTAACAACAAGCTGCAGGATTCAGGAGTGAAGCTGCTGTGTGGTTTTCTGGAGAGTCCACACTGTAGACTGGAGACTCTGAGGTCAGTTCACTGACTCTCTGTTACTGTTGTAGATCTGATATGTTTCATTAACAATTGAACCTAATTTATGTTCATACATAACTTACATCCATAAAGTTGTACATTTCCTTTTGTTCATATTTTAATGTTTGTTGAACTAAGTTTAGTCTGCAGTCACAAAGACTTGTGTTTCTTATAGAAACTGTAGAAAATGTCCGCTGTTAGTTGTTGAAGTACATGAGTGTTTATCATTGTTGGTAAATGGTCACATCTGGATACAGAAGATCCTCTGAACTAATATTTGTTTACATTGATCAACTTTACTGAAGGGGAAATATTTCTTTGCTTTCTGTTCATTTCAATGTGTTTCCACAAATAATGTCTGATCATGGATATTGATCCTTCACACACACACACACACACACACACACACACACACACACACACACACACACACACACACACACACACACACACACAGGGTTGTGGCGGCCCACCACGGTCTAATTTCCTCCATCATAGTTTCATAATGAACTGAAACTATTTTAACATTTCTCTCTAACATTGTGTTTTCGTCCGTTGCTTTAGCAAAGTGTCTCTCACTCAGTAAAAGTATCTGTGATGGATAAACTAGTGACAATCTGCCCTTGCTCTGCCCCTCCTGTACAGTCTACTGACAGTCACCCTGCAGAGACACAGAGACAGACGCTCTCTGTACAGATACAGTCTTTATTTTAACCAGTGCGGACCAGATAAAGCAACAGTGACCAGCAGTGAACGCATCAGCTGGTGCAGATGTCATTGGTTACCACATTGGTTTCCATCGTTTTGATTGGCTACGTCATTAACAACGAGCCTCCTCCACATGCGACTCACCTGCTGATGTAAAAACAGAATCGCAGGTGGAAAAATGTGACAAAGACAAAAGTGAACACAATGACAAAGTCACTCTACTCATTTTAGAGAAAAGCTCATTGATTAGGACATAGTAATGTTGATCTCCACATTTAAAACCTGAACACATCTGATTGGATTATAAATTATTTTATCTTCATCTTTTATTCTTTATTCAGACTGAGTGACTGCAGTTTGTCAGAGATCAGCTGTGATTATCTGGTCTCAGCTCTGAAGTCCAACCCCTCCCATCTGAGAGAGCTGGACCTGAGTAACAACAACAAGCTGCAGGATTCAGGAGTGAAGCTGCTGTGTGGTTTTCTGGAGAGTCCACACTGTAGACTGGAGACTCTGAGGTCAGACACCATTTTTTATTTCTGTGCTGAGATTAATGTGATGTGAAAGTTGTGCTGACAGTAAAGTGCAGACATAAGGCTGATATTATACTGATCCACACTGAGTATCTTAATGCTAAAGTCTGTTTTCTTCTTCAGTGGTTTAGTCCATTGACTGTGGCAGAGCAATGTTGAGCTCCACATTTAAAACCTTTATATAACAAGAAGAATCTACACTGAATAATTCACTCTTTATTTCCATCTTATATTCTCCACCATGTGTTTTAAAAGAAATTAAGACAATAAATACAATGAGTAAATCAATAATCTCTATTTCAACTATCAGACAATAACTAATAGAAACACTTTTTGCTTTTTCCAACATTTGTCTGTTTGTTCACATTTCCCCAAAATTCATCCTTTTTTAAATAATCTTTTATTTAATTCAATTCAATTCAATTCAATTTTATTTGTATAGCACCAATTCATAACAGAAGTTATCTCAGGACACTTTTCAAATAGAGCAGGTCTAGGCCGAACTCTTTATGACATTAATTACAGAGACCCAACAGTACCACCATGAGCAAGCACTCGGCGACGGGGGCAAGGAAAAACTGCCTGTTAAGAGGCAGAAACCTAGGACAGATCCTTCGGCTCTAGGTGGGTGGTGGTCTGCCTCGACCAGTTGGGGTGAGAGAGAGAGAGAGAGAGAGAGAGAGAGAGAGAGAGAGAGAGAGAGACAGACAGACAGACAGACAGACAGGTGCACAGCAACAACAGAAGCAACAACTACACGAATAGTAGTGACTGATGATGAACATGAAGAAGCTGATGATGACAACAACAGCAATGATCGGGGACAATGAACAGTGACAATAGTAATAATAGTAACTGTAGTAATAATAATATCAGCGTTGGGCGGGACCTCGTACTCCACGCAACTCGGGGAGTGGTGCGGCCGCATCACGTGCCGTCATAACACGTGCGGACCACAACATGAAATTTTCACATCACCCCACTCCCAATCCCTCATCGCCAGAAGCTGAGGGAGACCACTCTACGTTGTCACGCGTTTCAGACACTGCAAAAGACTTAAGCTTTCATAGAGAGACTCTTCACTGCGAAAGGTGGAAATTCAGCGCCATGCCACGGACACACAGTTTGACGCACAGTAAATTAACTTATGATCACCAGTGTGTCTAGATTGCAGTGATCAAATATGAAGTCAATATGATCAAATCTGTAGGAGTTAGTTAAAGAAGCCCTGAAATGCCGGAAATGGCCTCACAGTGGCCGACTTTGACGGCACGCCACGGACACGCCCTTCAACATACAGTCACAAATCGCACAACTATTAATCAGCAACATTTTTCAAGTGTACAGTCCAGATTTGAAGCAGATCCGATAAATTCCCTGGGAGTTCGTTTGTTCAAATACAAGACCACGGAATTCAAAATGGCCAACTTTGACGGCACGCCATGGACACGCCCTTCAACGTACAGTCACAAAAAGCATGGCGTTTAGACAGCAACATTTTTTGACTGTACTGACCAAATTTGAAGTCGAGCCGATAAAACCTGTAGGAGGAGTTAATGAAAAGATAACACTGAAATGCCAGAAATGGCATCACAGTGGCTGACTTTGATGGCACGCCACGGACACGCCCTTGAACGTACAGCCACAAATACCACAGCGTTCAGTCAGCACCATGTTTTGACTGTACTGACCAAAATTGAAGCAGATCCGATAAAATCCCTAGGAGGAGTTCCTTCAAATACAAAGCGAAAATTCATCAAAAATGACCACGGAAGTCGAAATGGCCAACTTGGACGGCACGCCATGGACACGCCCTTCAACGTACAGTCACAAATAACACGGCGTTTATTCAGCAACATTTTTTGACTGAACTGACCAATTTTGAAGCAGATCCGATAAATTCCTTAAGAGGACTTCCCTCAAATACAAGCCCAAAAAGGGAAAATGACCACAAAATGGCTGCCAAGAGTGAAAATTGCCGACTTCCTGTGGGGTTTGGGGTATGGGTCCAAGAGAGTTTTTTTTGTACATCGCGGCACGTTACACATGCCTACCGAGTTTCATACATATCGGTGAAACGTGGCGCCGGGGCTGCTTTTTAAAATTCCTGTAGGGGGCACTACAAACACCACAAACACGATTTCTGGTATGGGAGCTACAGGCACCAGTCTACACATGTCCTGTGAATTTCATATTCATAACTATTATGGCCTCCGCAGAGTGAGTTACCCGGCCACCAGAGCGCCACCTAGTGCCGTGATTTTTTTTTCCTTTTTAGGGGAGCCTCAGGGAGCCATGGGCAATCATCGTACCAAGTTTCATTTTAATCACACTTGCCGATGCAGAGATATAAACTTCTTCATTTTAAACAGCGCAACCTTGAGGCGATGACCTGAAATTGTGCACAGTGCCTAATGAAGACATAAGGAACTATTGACGCAAGGTTGGTGTCAATTGGACATACCAATGTGGACAAATGTCCCACTTCCTTTTTTGACAAAAAATCAACAGGAAGTGCTAATTTTATAACGTGCTTATTCTTTGAAATATCAAAATACTTTAAATTATTTTTTTGCCAGAACAGTCTCCAGATGCTACGTGCAAAGTTTCGTGCGAATCGGACAAAAGGCATGGATGGAAACTGAAAACTTAGTTTTTGGACATTTTGCGCTCTAGTGAAAAAAAATCTGGACGGAAGTGGGCGTGGCCTATACAGGGAGATTCAGCTCCATTCACTGAACGCGTGGATATAAGGTTTTTGAATGTGAGACAAACGATGCGGGAGTTATTAGCCTATCAAACTTTGCCTAAAAGTAGTGCCACCTAGTGGCCTTCCTAGCAGCCAACCTGGAAGCGACGTAAAGAATATCCAAGATTGCACCAGGCTCGACAAATTCGCCAAATAAAATGAGTCAGAAGTATACGTTCAGGGAGTCAAAAATGCAGTGAAAAAGGCCTAGAAATAATAATAATAAACGGACCAATTTCAATAGGGACCTTCCAACACATCTGATTGGATTATAAATTATTTTATCTTCATCTTTTATTCTTTATTCAGATTGGGGGGCTGCAGGTTGTCAGAGATCAGTTGTGATTATCTGGTCTCAGCTCTGAAGTCCAACCCCTCCCATCTGAGAGAGCTGGACCTGAGTTACAACAATCTGCAGGATTCAGGAGTGAAGCTGCTGTGTGGTTTTCTGGAGAGTCCACACTGTAGACTGGAGACTCTGAGGTCAAACACTATTTTTTCCTTCTGTGCTGAGATTAATATGATGTGAAAGTTGTGCTGACAGTAAAGTGCAGACATAAGGCTGATATTATACTGATCCACACTGAGTATCTTAATGCTAAAGTCTGTTTTCTTCTTCAGTGGTTTAGTCCATTGACTGTGGCAGAGCAATGTTGAGCTCCACATTTAAAACCTGAATATAACAAGAAGAATCTACACTGAATAATTCACTCTTTATTTCCATCTTATATTCCCCATCATGTGTTTTAAAAGAAATGCTGACAATAAATACAATGAATAAATCAATAATCTCTATTTCAACTATCAGACAATAACTAATAGAAACACTTTTTGCTTTTTCCAACATTTGTCTGTTTGTTCACATTTCCCCAAAATTCATCCTTTTTTAAATAATCTTTTATTTACTGTGTGACATCAGTATCATCATTATTATCATTATTATCATTATTGTTATGTATTATTATTTATTACTACCATTATCATTAATATTAATATTTATAATTATTAGTTGAAGTATCATTATTATTAATAATAGTTATTATTATTGTTAATAACAATATTTATTATTATTATTATTATTATTACATATTATTACATTATCATAATCATTATTATTATTATTATTATTATTATTATTCATTAATTCATTCATTCATTGATCTTCATCCGCTTATCCGGGATCGGGTCGCAGGGCAAGTCCAGCAGAGGACCCCCAAACTACCCTTTCCCTGGCCACATCGCCCAACTCTGACTGGGGGATCCCGAGGCGTTCCCAGGCCAGTGTTGAGATATAATCTCTCCACCTGGTCCTCGGTCTGCGCCGTTGCCTCCTCCCAGCTGGACGTGCCAGGAACACCTCCCTCGGGAGGAGCCCTGGAGGCATCCTCACCAGATGCCCGAACCATCTCAGCTGGCTCCTTTCTACGCAAAGAAGACACATCTCTACTCCGAGTCCCTCGCGGATGTCCGAGCTTCTCACCCTATCCCTAAGGGAGACGCTGGCCACCCTCCTGAGGAAACCCATTTCAGTCGTTTGTACCCGCAATCTCGTTCTTTCGGTCACGACCCATCTCTCATGACCATAGGTCAGGGTAGGAACAAAGATCGACCGGGAGATCGAGAGCTTCACCTCGACTCAACTCTCGGCTCAACTTTCTTTTGGTTAACTGTTCGATAAAGGGAACGCAATACTGCCCCTTCTGCCGGATAAGGACTCATTCACTACCCGGAGTAGACAATCCACCAGTTTCCTGCTGAGAACCATGGCCTCCGATTTAGAGGTGCTGATCCTCATCCCAGCTGCTTGACACTCAGCTGCGCCCCGTCCAGTGAGTGCTGAAGGTCACACACTGATGATGCCATCAGGACCCACATCATCCGCAAAAAGCAACGATGCAATCCTCAGCCCACCAAGCTGCGGCGTGTCAACCAAGACAGCCCCTCAACACCCAGACCCTTCAGCATTTCTGGGCGAATCTCATCAATCCCTGGGGCTTCGCCACTGTGGAGTTGTTTGACTACCTCAGTGACCTCCCGTAGGGAAATTGATGCAGATCCCCCATCACACTCCAGCCCTGCCTCTATCACAGAGGGCGGGTTTGTTGGTCTAGTCGGGTTCAGGAGTTCCCCAAAGTGTTCCTTCCACCACCCAATTACCTCCTCAGTTGATGTCAGCAATGTCCCATCCTCGCTGTACACAGCTTGAATGGTTCCCCGCTTCCCCCTCCTGAGGTGTCGGACGGTTTTCGAGAAACGCCTGGGTGCCGTCTGAAAGTCCTTCTCCATGACTTCTCCGAACTCCTCCCACACCCACTGTTTTGCTTCCCTGACAGCTGTGGCTGCAGCCCTTCGGGCCTGCCGGTGCCCTGCATAGACCTTTGGCCTAAGATGCTCTGGTACCACGTACACTTAGGAGCATCCCTATGTACGAACATGCTGTTCGTTATGGACAATCCATGACTGGAATATTCTGCACTGCTGTTTGGTGCAGAGGCACACACAACAGTCAGAGTCCCCCCCCACAGATCGTAGGTGTAGGGAGGCGACCCTTTCGTCCACCGGGGTGAACTCCAACGTAGCGGTGCTCAGCTGGGGGCTTGTTGGTGTCATTATAATAGTAGTATTATTATTATCAGCTGGTGCCGATGTGATTGGTTACCACGTTGGTTTCCATCATTTTGATTGGCTACGTCATTAACAACGAGCCTCCTCCACACGCGGCTCACCTGCTGATGTAAAAACAGAATCGCAGGTGGAAAAATGTGACAAAGACAAAAGTGAACACAATGACAAAGTCACTCTACTCATTTTAGAGAAAAGCTCATTGATTAGGACATAGTAATGTTGATCTACACATTTAAAACCTGAACACATCTGATTGGATAGTAAATTATTTTATCTTCATCTTTTATTCTTTAGATTGATTAACTGCAGGTTGTCAGAGATCAGCTGTGATTATCTGGTCTCAGCTCTGAAGTCCAACCCCTCCCATCTGAGAGAACTGGACCTGAGTACCAACGAGCTGCAGGATTCAGGAGTGAAGCTGCTGTGTGGTTTTCTGGAGAGTCCACACTGTAGACTGGAGACTCTGAGGTCAGACACCATTTTATTCTTCTGTGCTGAAATGAATCTGATGTGAAAGTTGTGCTGACAGTAAAGTGCAGACATAAGGCTGATATTATACTGATCCACACTGAGTATCTTAATGCTAAAGTCTGTTTTCTTCTTCAGTGGTTTAGTCCATTGACTGTGGCAGAGCAATGTTGAGCTCCACATTTAAAACCTTCATATAACAAGAAGAATCTACACTGAATAATTCACTCTTTATTTCCATCTTATATTCCCCATCATGTGTTTTAAAATAAATGACAATACAATGAATAAATCAATAATCTCTATTTCAACTATCAGACAATGTTGTGAGGTTCTATTTCAAAAACCTCAAAAAAACTACTTTATTTTGCCATTGTCTTCAATGTTTCATCTTTTCTTTATTCAGATTGAGTGACTGCAGTTTGTCAGAGATCAGCTGTGATTATCTGGTCTCAGCTCTGAAGTCCAACCCCTCCCATCTGAGAGAGCTGGAACTGGGTCACAACGAGCTGCAGGATTCAGGAGTGAAGCTGCTGTGTGGTTTTCTGGAGAGTCCACACTGCAGACTGGAGACTCTGAGGTTTGTAGTTAGTTGAAGTGAGTCCATGCTGATGAGCCCATTGTTGACGGCTCTGCTCAATAAGATTTAAAAGGTGTGAGGAGATTGTGTTTGTTCAGGCTGAACATTGAACTCACATTTTCAATACTTAATTGGCATCAGTGGCTCATCCTTCAGCTTCTCAGCTACCAGCTGACCAGTAACATCCAATCATATTCATACAGGTGTAGTGTATTAGTTCTCCTCCTCACTGAGAACAGCAGAGCCTTTTCTGAACAGTCTAACTGTATGACTGTATGTCTGACTATTGGCTATAAATGATCAATTCTTATTTATGTGACCAGGGCAGTTAAGCGCCCTGACAGCAAGTGAGACAACGCCACCCTGGGACTTTCACCCAGAGAATACCCACTTTCACAGGTTCTTATAGTACAGAGAAAAAAGGAGCAGAGATGTGAATTTCCAGTTTCGACCACTAAATTTATTTACACAGATTTAATGTCACTCTCAAAAAAACAATTTGGGACAGGTTAAAATTTATGATTTATTACCAAAATATACTTATATTCACTAAACAGGTAATTACCAGTACAAGGGGGAGGGGAGGGGGGCTGTCAGGGAGGCCTACAGGAATGAGGGAGTGAGAGAAAAGGGGGGGTCACCACCACCAGTAGGTACAGGGAAGAGGAGATCACACACACACTGCAAAACAATAAAGCACATAGTTAGAATACACAGCAACGTAAGCATGCACATAGAACCCAAACAGGGGGAAACCCTCCAACCAGTAACCCACCACCTGTAAGCGTATGACAGCCCACCTGTACAAACACTAAAAAGAGCCCCACTATATCATTAACTCACAAGTTTGGTTTATGAAAGATGATAAATAAATCCAACAACTAAATTAACCAAGAAAACACAGACCAACTATCAAAAATTAACAATCTACACAGTAAAACAAGGTAACCATATACAATAAATACATTTGTAGAAGGGCAAAAACAGCAGTAGCCAGAAGACTAGGTCATGGGAACAGACACCATGTATATATAAAAATATATATGGTGACATGTATACAATATAAACATTAATCCAAAAACATATGTTTCAGTCATTAAAATCTAAAGACCACTGAGAAGAATAGTACACAAGACATACAACTTAAAGATTAACATACCTGCGAGTTACATGAACAATTTATCCAACTAGAATCTGGCACATACACACCACACTCTTCTAGTGGAGGGAGCAGCAACTACCTTCAATTAGCTCCCATATTCCTGCCATTACACCTGCACAGATGTGAGGGAAGAATTTAATGCATGCGCCCACTATATGACAAACAAGCCAAGAACAATTCATACCTTAGTTGGGCATCGGCATCCCTCAAACAAATGTAGAGTCAGGGTAGGGTGAGGCAAAACCTACTGCTGACTGCTACACAGCTACATTTAAGGACTGAGAAGTGATTAGCCTCACCTGCTGACAATCAATGATTGCAGGCTGTGGCTAAACTAGAGTGGGGAGGGAACGCTACCCATCACATTTAGTTTATAAGCAATTTCTTGTTTCTCCAGTGTTCAACGTTCAACTCATTGGCTGGACTCCAGACATGTATCAGTGGTGTTGGTGTGGGTGAATGTGAGTGTAAGATGAGGTGTACATACATATAACAAAGAGAGAGAGAGAGAGAGAGAGAGAGAGAGAGAGAGAGAGAGAGAGAGAGAGAGAGAGAGTGAGTGCCACACAGGGAGCTGGAGTCTGTCTGTCTGTCTGTCTCTCTGTCTGTTGGATGCATTAAGATGAAAGTTTATTCAGACATTTATGTTCCCCTCAGGATGAATTATAATAACTTTGGTGATCCTCTGACTTTGAATGTCCAGCTCTTTATTCTCAGTCTGAAACTCCACTAGAGTAGCTTTGTATGATTCACTCTTCAGAAACATCTTTATTGATCTGATTCTGGCCCTTCATGCAGCCCCTCAGTTCATCATCTGTCTGAAACAAGTTGTCTCTTTAAGTCCTGCCCTTCCTAAAGCCCACTGTCCTCTGATTGGCTGACTGAAGCCTGCTGAATGTCTGTACCCGGTGTTAGTGAACACTGGTTCATGAAGGATGCAACCGGAGAAGAGTGTTTCAGGGCGCCGGGCCTCACTGATTACTGTACAAAAGCACAAGTTTATAACTTTATTCAGTGATTTTGGTGAACTTGGATCAGATTTTATGGAGAAAATATGTTCAGTTTTTCCCTCTGACGTCCTCCGGCTGCTCAGCTTCAAATGTTAGTGATTTATGGAGTTTCCTGATGGAAATATAGCTGCAGCTACTTGTTGTTAGCTACTTCAAATGTTTTCCAGCTACTGCTGTTAGCTGGTTAGCAATGCAGCTAACTTAGCCGTCCTATTATGCTTTTATGTCTATTAAGTTTCCCTCAGGCTCGACAAGAGCAAACTAAATATCTGGTGGTGTCGGAGACGACTGGGGCAGCCATACAGTGAGCTACAGCCAGTGAGCACAGACACTGGTAGTTACCATGGTAACAGCAGAGAAAAAACTCCTCAAACATCGACACACATAATAGACGGTGAATTAACAGTGGTACGAGTCGATGTGTAACACTTGCCAGTAAAGTAAGATGGTGAACAATTACAATATACCTGTAAACATCAGTCAGCATTGTCATTGTGAGCATGTTTACATGCTGATGTTAGCATTTAGCTCCAAGCCTTACTCTCTTCATGAGAGATAACTGTTGTATTTGTGTTTATTCCTACAGAGTGGACGACAGAGAATACAGGGCTACACCTCATAAACATGAAGGATGTGAGTAAACACCCACTGGATGTATTAAAGAAACTTAAACTGGTATTAAAGCATAACTGGGAGATTGGCTGCTGTGGGCTTCATGGTGCTGGTTAATCCCAATAACCACTGCAGATCTTTTGTTCTCCATGTTGGGGAAGAGGATGTCACTGAAAGAATGTCTTCCATCTCAGTCCTTGTGTTTTTTGTATACATTGTATTGTATGGACTTTAACTTGATATTTATGGCCACTGGACCTGGTCTTGAACTGTGTGTTCTGCTGTGTGTCTTCTTGTCCCCATGCGATGGTTCTAATCACCCACCAGATCCGTCCACATCAAGCACAGTCCTGGATGTGTCTGAGGACAGCAGAGAGGAGAGTGTGGATGAAGAGGATCAGCTGTGTCCTGATGATCCAGAGACACTGAAGCAGCAGCAGCTTGTGTGTGGAGAGGCTCTGAATACAAATGTCAGTTTTTAACTTTAACATTTTTATTCATCTGTCAGTGATCAGACTCTGGTTCCTTAGTTTTACCCCCTCCAGGGTTGAATATTTCTGACCTTCTAAATTCTACTAATATTAAACTACCAGCTGCTGTCCAACGTAGTCCTGCAGGCTTTACGTAGAGTAGAAAGTGAAGCAGTGAGGATCCTGTCACCTGTAGCCAGTTTCTGCTCCCATCTCAATGTGTTCTAATTAACTCTCCAGTCCAGTTTCATTAACTAAGTTTGTACCTTTTTCACTTTTAGGACAAGTTAAGTTTCACACCGGAACTGCTGACTGAGTCTGGAAAGAGTTCATACAGGTAACCAGATCATAAAATGCAGAATACTTCGACCTCGTCAACTCCTACACTAAATGTTCAACCTCTTCAGTTGAGCTAGCTGGTCCAACAGCTTCCTTTACATAAAGCATTACAATGTTGTCGGTTGTAGCATGGGAGAGAGAGAGAGAGAGAGAGAGAGAGAGAGAGAGAGAGAGAGAGAGAGAGAGAGAGACATTTTGAGGCAAATAATAACAGACTTACTACAGGGACATTGTATATTTGAAGTGAAAAGGTTGTTAAACAATTTAGAAAGGAATGCAGAAGATCAATCGAATAATTTAAATATTTACACAAACAAACAAATGATTAATATATTTATAAGCTATAAGAACATCCTAATCCAGAGCTCCGGAGAGAAGAGAGAGTCTCTGCTCAACCTACCTGCCCCACCTACTGACTGCCTGCACATGGTGCAAGAGGAGAGAGGGAAAAGAAGAGCTGTGTGATTACTCATGCATGGATATTAATTATATTATATATCTGCATATGTTTATTGCCCCTTCTCTAATGGTGTGGTCTGGTGAATAAGTCTGAATACATTTTCTTTAGAAATAAAGTCACTTAGAGGGTCTGAAAAGTTGCGAAAGCCAAGCAAGAAAAGTTGCCAAGTTGCGTCCAGAAATGACAGAAAACATTTCTCAGCATTTAAATGTAGTTTATTCTGTATTGTATCTATGTGTTAATGTGCATTTAATTCTGCATCCCAAAGTCTGTTCCTTTGTTCTGTTTCCTGTGTGAGTCCTTGAGTCCTCAGCAGGCTCATGAAAACTCAGAATCAAATATGAGTCAAAATTCTGTTACTGTGTTGACTGTTTCTCTCCTCAAGTCTTTTCACAAACATATTTCAGTGTACGGTTTAGCCATGAAAGCGGCAGATCCAAAACTAAGCCAACAGGATGAAAGCTTGAAGTAATCAACCCTTCTGTGTCCTACAGGTTCAGGTGTCCTGGTCCAGGTTTGTTCAAGTGTACTTTTACTGGACTGGTGTTTGTTGTGGCCCAGGAGGTAGAGCTGCTTTACAGGACGGTCCAATGGGATGAGAGCCTCCTCCAATCAGCTGGAAAGACGCCTGCAGGGCTGCTGTTCGATATCAAGTGTTCAGAGGATGCTGCTCTCTGTCAGCTCCACCTCCCACACTGTGAAACAATGGATGTGGATGGTAAGGATGTTATTGTGCTTTGTGAGTGCAAAGTTTTGTTAGAGGAATGATAAAACTGTAAAGTCTGGTTCGTGCCCCCTACACGCTGCAGAGAGCCATCAACAACTTTTTGTCTGAGCTCTGGTGACTTTGATAGTGAAGACCCACGTTTATATTCTTTCAATGGGGCTGGGATAGCTAGACTCACTGGATTCTCATCCTATTGATTAAAACACCTGCCTCCACTTAC